GTTGCGGTTAAAGTAACAGAATAAAGTTAGCTGGGACCGTATAACTATTACTCCTTAATTGGATGCAATGCTAGATAGTTTCTGTTCCAACAAGTGAGATGATGCAGAGGCCAGGGTTATCCCCTTTTTTTTTAAAAAAAAGCAAGTGAGATGATACAGAGTTTGGCGTTCTGCATATTTCGCAATGCAAATGCTAATGATCATAATTTAGGGGCGAGCATTTCTGTCAATAATTACTTACTTACATATCATTAATTCCAGCAATCAGAAGAAAACTCAGGATATAGGGCACCTGAGGTAGCCATGTCTGGCCAATACTCACTGAAGAGCGATGTATATAGCTTCGGAGTAGTCATGTTAGAGCTCCTCACTGGCCGCAAACCTTTCGACAGGTACGCACCACAATCAAATACTACTGCACTATCCATCATCTTTTCCTGAAATTGTTCCTGAAGTCCCCCAGGAATATTCATGCAACTCCCTTTAAGCTGTAATAAGAACGTGTAGCCCTCTGAAGTCTACTGAACTCCCACTTGCTGTCTGAAATGAATCATTGCAGGTCCCGACCACGGTCCGAGCAGTCGCTGGTCCGATGGGCCGCCCCGCAGCTGCACGACATCGACGCGCTGGACCAGATGGTCGATCCGGCGCTCCAGGGGCTGTACCATTCCAAGTCCCTGTCCCGCTTCGCCGACGCGATAGCCCTTTGTGTGCAGGTGCATTCCATAAACCCCTCCTTTGCAGTTTCCTGTGTTTCTGCATTTTTTTGCCTCACTGCTGACGCTTGTCCTGAAACGTGAGCAGGCCGAGCCAGAGTTCCGGCCGCCTATGTCCGAGGTCGTCCAGTCGCTGGTCCGTCTCGTGCAGCGGGCGAACATGACGAGGATGTCCAGCAGCGAGAGCTACACCCGGCGCGACGGCGAATCTGGCGACTACGCGGTATAGGCGTTGCTACGCTGTTGTATATACGCTTTTGGCAAGTAGTAGCAGTTGTACAAATTTACAGTTTTGCTGCCGAAGTCTTAGGGGTTATTCTTGTTCATCAATCATCCGTCCCAGCAGCAGAGAGTAGACGCTGTCCTCTGTATCTGGGCAGTAGTAGTATCCAGTGACAGTTTTCTGCCGCGTTACAATTCTTGTTTGAAAGAAAAATTCCTTGCGCGATTGGGACAGTGAGACCGTGAGAGTAATTGTCCTCCGGATTGCTGCGTCTTGTGTGGCAACTGACACCTTGATCTGTAGAAAGGGCACGATCAGAAACTGGGCGCGTTAACGCGAGAAGATCGACAGCGAAATGAACCTCTCGTGAAACAAACGAGGAGCATCTGCTTCATGCAACAATTGCCTGAAACTGCGGAGAAGCACACGCCACGGGCAAGCCCCGACGGATGCCGCGCCATCGCACACGCCGGCGGCCGTCGTACGCGCCAGCCCGTAGCGGCCCAGCGGGTCGAGGGGAAGGGCTCGCGTTTCGCCATGATCGATCTGTTGGCGCACACGTTCCTCGCTTGGCGGTGCGCGGTGTGCCCTTGACATGGGCTTTTTGGGCTGTGGCTGATGCTACACAAGCAGAAGCAGCCCAGCCATCGCTCCCGGTAGGTAGCCGATGATTGCCCTGGGCAGCATGGAGCGACGGGCATAAACAAACCTGAACCCAGCAAAGCCGCCGCCGCCGCCGCCGCAAGAACCACACCCCTCCTCCCCCTGCAGAGCGACCGACGGTACCACCAGCCTCCTTCGTCCGCCGCCGGCCCGGGCTAGGAGGGCCGGCACGGCGGCGCGGCCTTCGCCCGCATCTCCAGGTACGCGTCGCGCGCTCTCTCTCTCTCTCTCTCCGACCTCCGTTACGCCTCAGATTCAGTTTAGCTCCAGCACGCCGCGTTCGCTTTGCAGATTTCGCGGCAACCAACGCGCTCGGGCAGATTCACTCCTCGGGGCATCGACCAGGGAGATCCATCCGCACCGCACGGCAGCAGGACCTAGATGTGACAGAGGATTGAATCAGCAGGACTAGGCCTGGCTCGCATGCTCCAACATGCTCCATTCTAAGGAGACACTGAGGAAGATGTACTCAGTCGCCAAGGGCTACTACTGCGGGGGGCTAGCCTCTCCCAATCCTTTTCCAGGTAGCTCTCCTTCCAAGCTCGGATCTGTTCTCCAGCCCCTCTACATTCCAATTCGAAGATAGTAGTTCTAACTCGTCCCCCCTTGAATGTACCGGCAGTGTTGGATCTCAGGCAATCTCTCAGCTCGTCAAGGAAAGCGCCGGGGTACGCCAACCCATGCAGGGCCCGTTCGTACACGCGAAATGTGCTGACCGGAAGTTCCGCTGCCGACCAAGAGATTGTGATTGCTCTGGGAAGCAATGTGGGGGATAGGATCGGTTCGTTCGACAGGGCGCTGCGGCTGATGAAAGACTCAGGCATAAAGATCACCAGACACGCCTGTCTGTACGAGACAGCCCCTGAGTATGTGACGGACCAGCCGCGGTTCCTCAACTCTGCTGTTCGGGGCACGACCAAGCTGGGGCCTCATGATTTGCTCAAGAAGCTGAAGGAGATCGAGAGGGATATAGGGCGGACCGCCGGGATAAGGTATGGCCCAAGGCCGATCGATCTGGATATTCTCCTGTATGGCGACTCCCGTATCAGTACCGAGACCCTGACTGTGCCACATGAACGCATCCGTGAGAGGCAATTCGTTTTAGCTCCTCTTGTTGATCTTCTAGGGTCCTCGGCTGACGATCCTATGGAGAAAAGCTGGCACTCCCTCTCGAAGTGCAGCGGTGGCTTCTTTGATGTGTGGAACGAGCTTGGTGGTGAATCTTTAATTGGGACACAAGGTATCAAGAGGGTTATGGCTGTTGGAAATCGTCTGTTGGATTGGAGTGAGAGGACCCTTGTCATGGGGGTGCTTAATTTGACGCCGGACAGCTTTAGTGACGGAGGTAAGTTTCAAGAAGTGGAGGCTGCCGTTGCTCAGGCCAAGTTGTTGATATCACAAGGTGCAGACATAATTGATATTGGTGCTCAATCCACCAGGCCCTCTGCAACAAGACTATCTGCAAACGAAGAACTTGAGAGGCTGGTCCCTGTTCTGGATGCAATCACCAAAATCCCCGAGATGGAAGGGAAGCTGATCTCAGTAGACACATTCTACGGACAAGTCGCTGCTGAAGCTGTGAAAAGAGGAGCCACCATGATTAATGATGTGTCTGGCGGACAGCTTGACCCAAGTATTCTTGAAGTTGTAGCTGAACTTGGAGTTCCATATGTTACCATGCACATGAGAGGTGATCCATCAACTATGCAGAGTGAACAGAATTTACAGTATGATGATGTCTGCAAAGAAGTTGCTTCTGAATTATATGCACGGTTAAGAGAAGCTGAGTTGTCTGGAATTCCTTTGTGGAGGATAGTTCTTGATCCCGGCATTGGGTTTTCGAAGAAATCCAAACATAATCTTGAAATAATCAACGGCTTGGGATCCATTAGAAAAGAGATGGGTAAAGTGAGTTTAGGTGCTTCACATGTGCCAATATTACTTGGACTCTCAAGGAAAAGATTCTTAGGTGAGATATGCAACCGTGCCGATCCAGTTGAGAGAGATGCCGCTACTGTTGCTGCCAATGCAGCTGGGATTATGAATGGTGCTAATATATTAAGGGTCCATAATGTTCGTTGTGGCGTGGATACTGCAAAGGTCTCTGATGCATTGCGCATGGTCAAATGAAAAGGTACACCACCAGAAAAGTATTGAGACCAGTCTCCAGTTTTGTACAAGAGAATGGTGATGTAGATTTGTAGAGTAGTTACTGTCACATCATTGGCTTCCCAGTTCATACCTCATACCATATCGGGTGTATGATCACTTAATAAAGCAATGAAAGCTTGTGTATAACTTTTGCCATAAACCAGATGTCCATTTTCTTGCGCTGGCTCCTTCCTAGAATCTTCAAGGAAGCAAAGGTAAACTCTCAACTCAGATCATCCAGAGAGTAACCAAGAAAAAAATGTTTTAAAGGTTGCTACTAAGTTTTCTGCGTAATTTCTTATGCAACACTATCAACAAGTTGGTCTCAAACAACAACAACAACAATAAAGCCTTTAGTCTCAAACAAGTTGGGGGGTAGGCTAGAGGTGATACACATAAGATCTCGCGACCAACTCATGGCCTGTCCATGGCTAGTTCTTTGGTGATACTCCAGTCCTTCAGATCTCTCTCTACGGACTCCTCCCATGTCAAGTTCGGTCTACCCCGACCTCTCTTGACATTATCAGCATGCTTTAGCCGTCCGCTATGCACTGGAGTTTTTGGAGGCCTGCGCTGAATATGCTCAAACCATCTCAGACGATGTTGGACAGGCTTCTCTTCAGTCGGTGCTACCCCAACTCTTATCTTTTATGTCATCATTTCGGACTCGGTCCTTCCTCGTGTGGCCACACATCCATCTCAACATGCACATCTCCGCCACACCTAACTGTTGAACATGTAGCCTTTTAGTCGTCCAACACTCAGCGCCATACAGCACTGTGGGTCGAATCGCCATCTTATAGAACTTGCCTTTTAGCTTTTGCAGCACTCTCGTCACAGAGAATGCCAGAAGCTTGGCGCCACTTCATCCATCCGGCTTTGATTCGATGGTTCACATCTTCATCAATATCTCCATCCTTCTGCAGCATTGACCCCAAATATTGAAAGGTGTCCTTTTGAGGCACCACCTGCCCATCAAGGCTAACCTCCTCCTCCTCCTTATGCAACACTATCATATAATTTATTCTAATTGAACAAATTCCAATGGATTTTGACAGTTGTTTCAGGTCCTTCTTTTTGCACCTTTAGACTGTTATTAGTTCACATGTTATGCAAATTTTATTCCAGCTTGCTTTTCCGTGACACTTTTCTTTGTGACTCCTTATTTTTGTTTTGATCTTGTTGTACCAAATGAGGAAACTCATGCATTACAAGTGCCGTATGATATTACTGGACTTCAAGGGCTGGTCTGTGATCTGAATTTTTTTCTGAGGGTTTAATATTGAGACCTTCTGTGATATACTTTGCCTGAAATTGTCTACTCGAGAGCATCATTTGTTGCTACAGAGTTGATTTCCATCTTTCATGCAGTTTTCTGGGTTTTATCAAACTTTTTGTGACTCCTTATATGTGTTTTGATCTTGTTGTATCCGATGAAGAAACTTATGCATTGCAAGTGCCGTATGACATTACTAGGCCCCAAAGCTTGGTCTATGATCTAACCAGTTTTCTGAGGGTTTTATTGTCTAGATGCGAGGCCTCTATAATGCACTTTGTTTGGAATTCTCCAGTTGAGAGCATCATTGTTGCTACAGAGTGCGTTGGCATCTCTAACTTTTGGAGGTTTTTGATGAACTTATCGTTGCGACTCATTATTTGTGTTTTGATCTTGTTGTACCCAATGATGAAACTTATGCATTGCAAGTGCCGTATGACATTACTAGGCTTCAAGGCTTGGTCTATGATCTAACCAGTTTTCTGAGGGTTTATTGTGTGATTGTGAGACCTTTGTAGTGTACTTTGCTTGGAATTGTCTACTTGAGAAAATCATTTGTTGTTACAGAGCTGATTTCCATTTCTAATGCAGATTTGGATTTTAAATCCGAACCAATTCCTAGCATGTTTTTGAAAGAATACAGCGGAGGCTTCTAAAAATTGTTCTGGTTGGTTTATGATCCAATGAGGAAACTTATGCATTGCAAGTGCCGTATGACATTACTAGGCCTCAAGGCTTGGTCTATGATCTAACCAACTTTCTGAGGATTTTATTTTCTAGATGCAAGACCTTTTTACTGCTTTCCGCATGGAATTTTCTACTTGAAAGCATCATCTGTTTCTACACAATTGTTTTCCACCTTGACATTTTTAGTTTTAAATCTTAGCTGCTTCCTAATAATTAAAAAGTTTACTTGTGATTCGCTTCTTGTGCATTTTTGTTCCTCCTGTGTCCACTGATGAAACCTTAAGAACTGCGTGCTGGATCATTATACTGCCATAGAACATGGCTTGTCCATGATATCACTGCAGGTTTGGCAAGGGCTTGCCCCTTTTATACTATTGGGCACTTGTTAGCATATTTTGTACAGATTTGTTGTGTAAATTGAAGCCATTCCAGCTTGCCGTCAATCCCGTTCTCCTCAATGAGGAAATTCATGCATCGCAAGTGCCGTATGACATGCCCTCAAGGCTTGGTATTTGATTTAACCTGATTTCTGAGGGCTTTATTATTGTTTAAATGCATGACCTTTTTAATGTGTGGTTTGGAAATGTCTACGATCGTCATTTGCTCCTACAGAATTGACTTCCACCTTTTGTACAGATTTCGCTTTTAAATATTCTTAGGTGGCTTCTTGTGCATTTCTGTTCCTGCTATGCTCACCATTGAAACCTTATGAACTGCAAGTGCCTGATGGTTACAGTCATGTCAATTGTATCCATGCAGGATTTTAAAACCGACCGGCTTGTAAGGATTTTCATGCGTGGCTCATGTGCCATTTTTATCCCTGGCCACTCCTGAAACCGCAAGTAACTGCAAGTGGGGGATGATCATTGCTAAAGGAAACCCTATCAGTGATTCAAGTCGGATTTTCGAGGCCTTGTCTTCTCTAGATGTATTGTACTTCCCTGTCAAATGATTATATATATATATATGCCTTGAGGACTCTTATTCTTGACAACCTGTTCTGTGCCATGTGTATTTTTCCTTGGAGTTGTTCATAAGGTGAAATGACACAATGTGCTCGATTTGCTAACAGGCTTTGTTTTCCTTCCCTGAAGTACAACCATCATCTAAATAGTTGAGCGTGAAAAGGTCAGAAGGAAATCTGAAAATCATCAACCAAAGTTCTCATGGTTCCTACTCTTTTCGACTTTGGAAGCTGCTAATAATCAACGACTCTTGAAGCTCTCACACTTGGTTCGACTGATTGGTTTGTTCCTAAGGGAGCTACTGGAATTCGAGAAAGCTTCTAAGCAAAAAGGACAGTCGTGATATCTTCTGCCATTGACAACTACCCTTGTAAAAACACTATCTGTACAAGAACCTAAAAATCATGTGGAATGTTGTCAAATGTTAAATATCAGTTGATGTTCTGATGTTTCAAGGGCTCGTCTACTGAAATTATGTGCTTTACTATTGCTCCGTCGGTTGACTAATGACTAGTTGCTCTGGAGCAAGAGTCAGAGGAGAACACGAGAGGTGCGATCTTGACCGTACACATACCATCGATCGACGGCCCGAAACCGCCCGGTGACACTCCGCGTTCCCCTTCCGCTCTCGCGCATCTGGGATCGAGAAAACAATAATCCTCTCGTCGTCGGCGACTCCCAAATTACCACCTCGCCCCCAATCGTCTTCGGCTCAGATCGGCGTCGCGAGGCGTACCAGTCCCAGATCGTCGGAGCACCGGGTTCGCGGCGAGCCGACGGCAAAGATTATGGAGACGCCGCCGCCGTTCCAGGAATCCGCCCACTGCGACGTCTGCCGCTGCACCTTCTCCACTTTCCGCCGCCGCGTACGCGTCCTCCCCCTCCCTCCCTCTCATCCGTTTAGAGATTCTCTTCGTTTGGCTGCTGATACTGACTGATTTGACGCCCTCACAGCACCACTGCCGCAGCTGCGGGAGGACGCTCTGCCACGAGCACTCTTCGTACCACATGGTAGGGAACCTCAAAACTGAGCAAGTTGTGTGTAGGGAGTTGGGGTTGCGAAGCTTGCTCAATTAAACTCTTTGCTCTAATTGGTTCCAGGCCCTGCCGCAGTACGGGATTTACACGGACGCCAGGGTCTGCTATGAGTGCTTCAACAAATCATCATCCAGGTAGCTTAGCTCACTCGGTTGCTAGAATCTGATGAATCTGATGGCGTAAACACATATGTTTGGTCTGGATATAAGCTGAATTTTCGGCTATCTTCCCGTGCGATGTTGCAGACGCGGGGGTGTTGATAATGCGAGTTCTGCCGGGAGCGTTTCTGGTGCTGCAGACTCCTTTTCAGGGCTAAATTTGGATAAAGATGATGATTCGTTGCCCACGAAAAGTTCGGCGGTTCAGAGTCCAGCTGCCATTATCGAGTGCAAATGCGGGATGCCATTGTGCATATGCGAGGCACCAAAACCAGAACCTGCGCCTGTAAAGGTTGACTACAATCCGATCCTTTTAATCGATTATTGTAGGTGTATATTAACATAATCATCTTATGCAGCAGAATATCAGTGCCGCTTCGTCAGCTGCGCAATCAAACCCAAAGCCTAAAAAACCTTCTAGCAACCAGCAGTCAGCTGAATTAAGCTTGAAGAAGGCTTCAGCTACTTCCAGCAGCAACTCAAGGTTCGGTAGACTTGCCACATTCAGGCATTTGTTAAGAGGAATTGTAATTTTTTGTCGTATACTCCCTCCGTTCCAATATAGATGACCCAACTTTGTACCTAAAGTTATTACAAAGTTGAGTCATCTATTTTGGAACGGAGGGAGTATGTCTCTAGTAATCTTCGTAGTATAATTTCGCACTATTTGATCGACTTTGTTTGGCAAGATCCATTGCATATTTTGGTCATTATCTTAATGCCAGGACCTATACACTCTTTGTAATAGGAAGATTACATATGTGCATAGGCATAAACATTTGGCCTGTAGCTTACCTTCTCATCTCTGTGTCCTGATTCTTGTTATTCCAGCTCATTCTTAAATCTTGGCCTGATGAGCAACGATAGCAATGATAAGACTCCGTCTGACTATGAAGTTACTGGAGAGGTAAGCTTAGAGACAGCTCAATAGTGCTCCTTTTCTATTTCTCCATTCAACCCATCAGGTACATGAGATATCTTTGGCCTGGGAATCTAGGAGTTTTCTGTTAAAAATCTAGTCTTCATTCCTTTTTAGGGACTGAGAGAAGCGATTAAGGGTGGGGATATTAAAGCTGTGAAGAAACTTCTTAGCCAGGTACTGTTTCTATCTTTTCTCTCGTTTTATTTTTTATCTACTCTACTTGATTTTTACAATAACATTACATTGTGCAGGGAGTAGATTCTAACTACTGCGACAAGCAAGGATTTACTTTGCTACATTTGGTATGTGGTTTTTTACGAACTCCCTCATGGTCAACTTATATTTGCACATCATTGTACCATTTTGTGTACACGTTTGCTTATAAATGTTTGGTCCTACAAGGCAACAACATTTGCGATGTAAAGGCCACAGCACACCCGTGCACCTGAATGATATAAAACACGTTTGCACTAATAGTGAAATGATATGTATCTGCTGATAAATTAAATATCCATGATACACTTGACCAGATTAGTTTGTCTTTGG